CAGGTCATTATCTCATTTGGTTTTGAGGTAAATGTCGTTGATGATTGTGTTTATCACAAGTTTAGTGGGAGTAAGCATATTTTTCTGGTTTTGTATGTTGATGACATACTGTTTGCCACTAACGATATAGGCATGTTGCATGAAACCAAGAGATTTTTATCAAAGAATTTTGAGATGAAAGATCTTGGTGACGCCTCTTTTGTATTAGGGATTCAGATACATCGGGATCGTTCTCGAGGTATTCTTTGATTGTCACAAAAGATCGTTCTCGAGGTATTCTTGGACTGTCACAAAAGAGCTATATCGATAAAGTACTTAAGAGGTTTGGCATGCAAGACTGTAAACCAGGTGACACCCCTGTCGCTAAGGGAGACAAATTTAGTCTCAAACAGTGCCCACAAAATGACCTTGAAGCTAAGGAAATGCAGAAGATTCCCTATGCATCAGCTATTGGGAGTCTAATGTATGCTCAAGTATGTACACGCCCAGACATAGCATTTATTGTTGGAATGTTAGGCAGATATTTAAGCAACCCTGGGATGGATCATTGGAAGGCAGCCAAAAGGGTTATGAGGTATCTAAAGAGGACAAAGGATTATATGCTCACATATAGCAGATCAGATCAGTTAGAGATCATAGGGTACTCCGATTCTAATTTTGCTGGATGCCAAGATAGTAGAAGATCCACATCAGGTTATATTTATCTGCTAACTGGAGGAGCTATTTCCTAGAAGAGTACCAAGCAGACACTCATAGCTTCTTCTACTATGGCAGCAGAGTTTGTAGCATGCTATGAGGCATCTAATCATGGAATATGGTTGCGAAATTTTGTCACTAGGCTGCGCATTCTAAATGGCATAGAAAGACCACTAAAGTTGTATTGTGACAACAACTCAGCAGTTCTATATTCTAACAACAACAGGAGCTCATCTAAATCAAAACATATTGACATTAAATTCCTGGTTGTGAAGGAAAGAGTACAGAGTAGACAGATTTCTATAGAGTACATTGGAACAAACTCCATGATCGCGGATCTGCTTACTAAGGGATTACCACCCAAGGTCTTTCATGAGCACACCGCTCATATGGGTGTTGTACTTTTTGAGGATATCATGTTTTAGTGGGAGTTTGTATTCTTATTGCTTTATATATGTTTAGTTCTTTGAACACATTTATGTATTTGGATATTTTCTGTACAGAAATAAAGTATTCAGTTCATTCCACTCTGTTATTATGTTCAGTACTGATCTCACTTAAGAAATAAGGTTGGACCAGTTGGAAATAGACATGTTCGGATCACATAACATGTAATTTCCATGCTACACTCCCATAATTGATCTATGTCATTTGGTTGTATGGGTGTACGTGACCATTGATGGATTTAGTCACGCTAAATGTTACGAAAATCGCTTTGATCCTACATCGATTTAACTAATGGACGAGATTGTTTGGAAATACCTTTAATAACTATAACACAATTTTGAGCTCATAAGTCTGTGCACATTTATAATGTAACATGTTTGGTCCAGTGGGAGATTGTTGAAAAAAATTTCCAACTTTGGGGACCACACATGTACATTGATTAGAATGTGTGGTACTATTTTAAAGTAAATATAGTCGATAAAGTGATCCATTGGATTTAATTTTGGACTAATGAATATTAAATTTTATGGGATTAAAGTGTAGAGACCAGAATGTGTTATTTTGAATTGAGGAGGGGCCGATTTGAAATAACTTAAAGTTAATAACTGCCAATAGCAGTTATTTTAAAAGTGGTTATGGTCCCCAATTTGAACGTGATTCTTTTTATGATATCTCTGCATCCCCATCAACAAAGACTTTTAAAGAAAACCAAAAGGAAGGAAAATCACGTATCAATTGGAAGATCAAAACCCAATTAAAGCAGTAAGATTCATGGATCAAGGTATGTTTCCGCACTTTTTGTTGTCTCTTTGATTTCAACATGGAATTTATGATTTTATGAAAGGATTTTATGAATATGGTTCCTTTCAAATTTATGCAACACTTATTTCATTAGTGAGTATAATTAAATAGCTCAAACATCCTTCGTTTCCTACTGCGAAAGTTTTAAAAATAATGCTATTTATAGTCGTTCACTACGATAGTCTTTTTACGTAATATACACATGACAGATGCTTATTTGTCATGTGTATACCACGTAAGTCGACTACCGCAGTGAGCGATTACGAATAGTATTAGACGAATCCCAATCACATGCTAGCTTTAAATAATAAAAGAAATGAACTAAGGTGGTTATAAAATACTATGCCAAAACACGAAGCGAAGTTGGATCCACGTATTAAAGCCAGAAACTTATTGCAAAAATTCAAAGGATGAAAGATGTTGACTCTTACTTTTTCTTGTTTTTGACATTTGAGTATAGTGGATAAAGTTATGCTAGGTGATAATTAATTATTTAATCACATTTCATTTTATCTAATTAATAGTAATCAATACTTGCCGTTTCAATTAAATATATTGAATAGCATCATTGGTTTCCGATATTTAAAATAAACTTCAATAAAGTTATGTTGAATTTTATAATAACGTAATGTATATTTAGATTTTTATGTCCGCCCACTTTCTTATATATTGATTTTATTCATTTCTCTGAAAAGATCGTTGCACATTAACTCTTATACGCGACATCAAAAAATTATTTATATATTTACTTTTCAAAGCGGTCAAGATAGACGCCCTTACTCTTATCCCAATTGTTGAATATGTGATGAAATTCTGCACGTGTCTAACTTACTTCTTTTATTAGAATTTAAGAACCTTCCAAGAAACTGAAAACATACTAACCAAATCCAACTCGTTTAAAATATCCATTTAAAATTATACAGTTTGAATTGTAAGTGCATGAACCTTCTGTCAAACTGAACCTATATATATAAAACCCGTATACGGCTTTATTCTTGACAATTCAGAACAAAATTGTATTCAATTTTGAAAAGATAAAGGTTTTTTGTTTAAATTGATGATGTGTGAAAATATTGATTATGATGAGGATCTTGCCCTTCTTGATTCGATAACAAGGCAGTTGATCGATGATTCTCAATTTCCATTTCCGTTGGAGTCGCTGCCGCCACCTATCTCCGACGCCGCCAGTAGTGTGATAGTAAAGGACGAGCCTGATATCAGCTTTGAAATGTCCAACAATTTGAATTTTTCGACTGTGGCGCCGTCAGAAAGGGAGTTGGAAGTGGGTATTGAGCCGGTGGCGCCACCCAGAGGGAAGCACTACAGAGGAGTCCGGCAGCGGCCGTGGGGGAAGTTTGCCGCGGAGATAAGGGACCCTGCAAAGAACGGAGGTCGTGTGTGGCTCGGGACATATGAGACGGCGGAGGACGCTGCAATAGCCTACGACCAGGCGGCGTATCGTATACGTGGCTCACGTGCATTGCTGAATTTTCCTCTTAGGATAAATTCCGGTGAGCCGGAGCCAGTTAAAATTACAACAAAAAGATCATTGTCCTCGCCTAGTCGTTCTTTGTCTTTAGAGTCATCGGAAAATGGGTTGCCTAAGAAGCGGAAGATGGCGGGTGGGAGTGGTGGCGCCACCGGTAGTTCCAAGTAGTGGATTGGAAAGCGTTAGGGTGCAGTCGGTTCCACAGTTAAAATACTATGACTTAGTTAATTTACAATTTTTTACACCAGAAATAAAATTGTATTCTTTCTTTCTTCCTCACTTTCAATTTTCCCACTTTTCTTCATGTGTATGAATTTCGACCTCTCACACTTACAATACCTAACATAATTTACTTTTCCAGAATTTATTGTTTAAAAATTAACTTTTAAAGTGAAAAAAGGTAAATTATGAATATTATTTTGAAGGGACAATCGCAAAATGTTTATGATCCCTTAAGGTCACGAGTTAATTGAAACAAAAAGCAAAGTTGAGCTACTATATTGCAAAAAGAAAGTTCGAGATGGGAAATAATGATTTTAATTCTTGAAAAGTGACTATTTTGTTCAAGCATGCCCATCAATATCCTAGGGGCAGTTTTTGTTGGAGATAAAGGTGCAGAATTTAGAATCAATTGTTTTAATGGTCATTGAAATTAGGCCATGTTTTTTACTTATTACTAAAGTTTAAAATATCGAGTTTCAGTCACTGAACTTATGCCCATATCCTCGATTGCTCACTGAAATTTAAAACATCGAATTTTGACCATTGAACTTTGAAAAATATATTACGTTATTCACTAGCATAACTGTTGAATTTTGAAAATATTGAGTTTACAGTGAATAATGAATAGTACCCAAAACTCGACATTTTTAACTTCAATGACCAATCAAAGACATTGACCTAAGTTCAGTAATCATTCGAACAATTAACTCTAGAATTTACTCCATTAGACAAATTTATAAATGGCATATAAATAAAAATAGTATGAGGAATAATAGTTGATCCCACAAAATGTACAGATAATAAAGAGTAATATTTATAAATGCGTGTTTATGATCCCTTTTAACACTGGTCTCAATCTGTGCGAATCTAGATCAGAGGCCGTGGGAAGATTCGATACCTTACTCAAGAAATTATTCAAATGAAGAATGAGGACCCTACTTTTTTCTACATGGAATGCAGAAAATTCCATGGTAATGTCTTGGCTTGTGAACAAAATGGACCCTTCGATAAGCCAAAATGAAATGTGCCCACCTATTGTAAAGAAACAGGTGGACGGAGTTTCTGAGATATGCTCGGGCTTGGAGAATTCACACCAAAACACTGAAATCCACTTAAAACTCAGTGAAGCTAAGCAATGGGAGATAATGTCACAAACTGCTACATGAAAACTTGAAAAGTCTGTGGCAAGAACTTGGTTTGTTCTATGTACATGAGAAGTGTGTTGAGGACTTTGCTCATTACCAGAAAGCTTTGGAGAATGAAAGCTTTAAAATTTTGACCGGGTTGAATTCTAAAAGAATTCTGTGCAAACAACCTCTTCCATCCATAAGAGAGGTTTATTCCGAGGAAAGGCATGAAGAAAAAATGTTGAAGGCATTTTTTTGTAAAATTTTTTTTTTTTTTTTTTTTTTTTTTTTTTTTTTTTTTTTTTTTTTTTTTGATAACCCAGGTGTCCCAGCTTAGCCGGACTAAATCCTGGACCTCTAGCCCCCGGCCCCTCAGTGACTAGTGGAGGTAAATCGCAGGTTGTGCCCTTGTTGGTTCCCAGGTTCCCACATGGCTTTTACTCCTTCCCCAAAGGGACCCTCCTCCATGGTTATTACATCACCAAGCTGCTCCAACCCTTCCTCTGGTTATTACATCACTTGGCTGCTCCAACCAGGAATCGAACTCCCCACACTTGGTTCCAGAGCCCCCCAATGTAATTGTTCTGCCAACTTGGATGTGCCCTGGGGGAAGAACTTGGTTTGTTCTATGTACATGAGGAGAAGTGTGTTGAGGATTTTGCTCATTACCAGAAAGCTGTGGAGAATGAAAGCTTTCAATTTTTGACTGGGTTGAATTCTAAAATAATTCTGTGCAAACAACCTCTTCCATCCGTAAGAGAGGTCTATTCCGAGGAAAGGCATGAAGAAAAAATGTTGAAGGCAGTGCCGCTTGTAGTGCCCTGGAATTTATCCTTCTTACGTCAAGCACTTAAAATAATTCTAGGGAACAATACACATCTAAGGTAGTTACCGAGTGCAATTTCAGAATTAAGATAATTCAAATTTTATTAATTAAATAGATAATTAAAAATATTTTATTAAATAAATTTATTAAGGTCACAGTATTATGCAATTTATAATCATAATTGTGTGTTAATTACAATCACGGAATGGTTCAATCACAAATAACAAATTATAGGTCATAATGTATTTATCAATCATAAATTATAAAATTAATTGCTCAATCATTATTTTTAGGTCACAAATCACAAATTTTATGAATCACAATTTATTTATCAATCACAAATTATTAAATTATTATGTCACATATTATTTCTTGATCACAAATCACAAATTTTATAGATTCCAATTTATTATACAATCACAAAATATCACAAACATCTCATCACCACCGCTGCCACCTTTTGCGAAACTATTACCAAAATTGTCGCTTCATCACCATCACCCTTTGCAAACACCAACAAAAACAATCCCAAAACTATGGCTAATCAGCAAATCGAATCGAATCAAATCGGAAAAGGAAGAAACCACCCCAAAACCATTGTCAATAGCCGCGGCAATCATTGGTGGTGCAGTGGTCTCTCGCTGCGGTGGTTCGTTCCGATGACGATGGCCGAAGTTAACGGTGATGACAGCCAAACAGAGAGAAAAAAAGAGAGAACGAGAATGACTGGTTGTCACAGATTTTTAAATGAGCGGGGAGTGGTGTGAGGTGGGTTGGGAATGGTGGATTGGGGGAGATTCTTGGGGTTTGGGTTGGTATGGTCGTTACGTTTTTAAATTTATA